CACCGGGAACAGGTCTGACTTACTGTCGGCAATGCGAACACAGCTACTGCTCCAGTCATACAGGGACCGGCCAGCCCTTAGCAAAGGGCCCTGAACCCCATACTCCCAGAGCACCCCCCACCCTTACTTCCGGTGTCCACGACCGAGTTCGGGGATTGCCGCCGCGACAGGCACCACAGGCCTTACGCCCACAGCTACGAGCGGCTGCATTGACAATAGAGGCCGGACTCCATATCTCCAGCCTCCTCCGGAATCCGGGAGAAGTCCTCCCGGAGGTGCGAGTTGAAAGCCCCTCTGACAGAGGGCTCTGCCAGACGTTCCCAACAGACCCTCACTACACGCTTGGGCCTGCCAGGTCTTTCCGGCTTCCTCCTCCACCAGCAAACCCAACTCACAACCAGGTGGTGATCAGTTGACAGCTCAGCCCCTCTCTTCACCCGAGTGTCCAAGACACGAATCAGGCCACTTTATTTTTCGTGCCACAATGTCACTTCAGACTTTTCACGTGTTGTCAAGTCTGCTCCGCTTTGACAATAGGGAGAGAAGTGTGTTCCCATCAGGGATGTTGGGGACAAATGGGTGGAGAAATTGCTGTTTATGTACAATCCAGGGCCAGAGATGACAGTGTATGAACAGCTAGTCCCTTTCAGAGGCTGCTGTCCCTTCAGGCAGTATATACCAAGCAAGCCTGGAAAATATGGCATCAAAATCTGGGCAGCATGTGATGCGAAACACAGCTATGCATGGAAAATGCAAATATACACAGGGAAATCTGCCAGCAGAGTGCCAGAAAAGAATCAGGGCAAGTGGGTGGTCCTGGATATGACAAAGGGTCGTAAGGGGCACATCATAACTTGTGATAATTCCTTCATGTCATTTGACCTCGGGCAAGAACTGTTGAAGAAGAAGCTGAACATGGTGGGAACAGTCAGGAAAAACAAACCTGAGCTTCCCCTTGCTCTTCTTGGAACAAAGAACAGGGCTCCTCTCTCCTCAAAGTTTGTATTCTCAGAGAGAACCACAGTTGTGTCATACTGTCCCCAAAAAAAACAAAGGAGGAGTAGACAACCTGGACAAGGTCACTCGCACAGTGCAAGTGGAAGACAAAAAGGTGGCCAATGGTTGTCTTCTACAATATACTGGATGTTTCTGCGTACAATGCATTTGTGGTATGGACAGAAATAAATCCTGGATGGAATGCTGGAAAACCCTTCAAGAGGAGACTTTTTCTGGAGGAATTGGGGAAGTTTCTGGTTAATTATCCACCCTGAAAGACAACAGTGGCTGCCCCAAGACCAAGCCTCTGTCAGTATAGTGAGAAAGCTTCAGGCTACACTCACACCAGCATCCTGCAATAGGAACCAGGCAAGGGATTCCAGGGGGAGCAAGAGAAATAGATGCCAGTGCTGTCCCTCCAACAAGGACAGGAAAACCAGCTCCATGCAAGAAATGCATCTGCAAGGAGCACACTATAACCATCACATACTGTGATTCATACATGTAAACAACACACACACACACAAAATATGGTTCACACACAACACATTGTTTTTCAATGTTCAGTTTATGGTTCACACAGACACACACACACACACACCTGCCCTATACATGCACATGTTCATTTTATGGTTTAATTTTCAATTTAAATAAAGTTGGTTTTATAAAAAATAATTGACTTTTTCTCTTTATCCTACCATAAATTTATACAGGTCAGTTTTGACCTGTAACACCACAGATGTCACTGTTGTTAATCTTTTTTTTTTTTTTTTTTTTTTTTTTTTTAAAGAAAAAAAAAAAAAAAATCCAATATTTATTTATTTATTTTATTTTATTTATTTTTTGGGGTGGGGGGGGGGTGGGGGGGTGTACTCTACTATTAGTTTATAAGATAAGGATAATATAATTACTCATTTAATCATTATATTAAATATAATTAGTTCTTAAATTAGAATTTAAACAGTTTTTGTAATAAAAAATGATGGTCTGTGGAGAAAAAAGTGTATTAAAACAGTCTTTCCATGGATATGAATACATACTAAGTTCCATCCATCCATCCATCCATCCATTTTTGTCCACTTATCCGGGGCCGGGTCGCGGGGGCAGCAGCCTAAGCAGGGACTCCCAGACTTCCTTCACCCCAGACACGTCCTCCAGCTCCTCCGGGGGGACCCCGAGGCGTTCCCAGGCCAGTCCAGAGACATAGTCCCTCCAGCGTGTCCTGGGTCTTCCCCGGGGCCTCCTCCCGGTGGGACATGCCCAGAACACCTCCCGAGGGAGGCGCCCAGGAGGCATCCGGAACAGATGCCCGAGCCACCTCAACTGGCTCCTCTCGACGTGGAGGAGCAGCGGCTCTACTCCGAGCTCCTCCCGTGTGACTGAGCTCCTCACCCTATCTCTAAGGGAGCGCCCAGCCACCCTGCGGAGGAAACTCATTTCGAGCGCTTGTATCCGCGATCTCGTCCTTTCGGTCACTACCCAGAGCTCATGACCATAGGTGAGAGTAGGAACGAAGACTGACCGATAAATCACAACGGTCCGATACAGCGACCGCATCACTGCCGAAGCTGCACCAATCCGCCTGTCAATCTCCCGTTCCGTCCTCCCCTCACTCGTGAACAAGACCCCGAGATACTTGAACTCCTCCACTTGAGGCAAAGACTCCCCACCCACCCGGAGAGGGCAATAACATACTAAGTTATGAGGTGAAAAACAATATTGGTTGATAACTAGTGTTTTTAGGTATTTTCAGGCTGAGTTAAATCACGGGTCAAATTTGAGCCACTAACACTAAAGATGTGTGCAGCTTTCTAACACAATACAATATACAATATATATATGTGTGTGTGTGTGTGTGTGTGTACAAATAACCAGTGAAAATCAGACACTGTTTTTGATTTGTTGTTCAACAGAATTATTTAAAAACACAAACTAATGAAACTAGCCTTGACAAAAATGGTGGTACCCCTAGAAAAGATTGTGAGAAACTGAACTATAGGGACATGTTAAACTTAACTTAAACTTTGGAGACATGATGGAGACAACACTGAACATGAACCAGAGAAAGAGAAGAAGAGAACTGTGTCAAGAGACTAGAAAGAAAATGACAGACAAGCAGGTTAAAGATAAAGACAATAAGACCATCTCCAAGCAGCTTGATGTTTCTGTGATTACAGTTACACATGTTCTTCAGAAGTTTAATGTCTACAGGACTGAAGACAATCTCCCTGGATGTGGCAGCAAGAGGAAATTTAATGACAAATTGAAGAGATGGATGGTACGAATGGAACCAAAGAGCCCAGAACAACCTCCAAACAAATGAAATGTGAACTCGAAGGGCAAAGTACATCAGTGTCAGATCACACCATCCATCACTGTTTATGCCAAAGTGGACTTGTCATGTGAGGACACCACTGTTGAGAGCAAATCATAAAAAAAGGGAGACTGAAATTTGTCACAATGCAGTGGAGAATGTTCTTGGGACAGATGAAACAAAACTGGAGCTCTTTGGCAAGACACATCAGCTCTATGTTCACAGATGCAAAAATGAAGCAGACCAAGAAAAGAACACTGTCCTACTGTGAAACACGGAGGAGGTTTGGTTTTGTTCTGGGGCTGTTTTACTGCATCTGGCACAGGGCGTCTTGAATCTGTGCAAAATAAAACAGAATCTCAAAACTATCAAGGTATTTTGGACCGAAATGTGTTGCCTAGTGTCAGAAAGTTTGGTCTCAGTCATAGGTCATGGGACTTCCAACAGGATAATGACCCAAAACACACAGCGAAAAACACACAAGAAAGACTAAGAACAAAACATTGGACTGTTCTGCAGCAGTCTGTGAGCCCAGATCTCAATTCTATTGAATATCTGTGAAAGGAGAAAGATGGTGTCTGGAGACGTTTGCTCATGAGAAATGGGTCAAAATACCAGTTGACCAGTGCAGAAGTCTCATTGACAGTTACAGAAATCATTTGTTTGCAGAGTTTGCCTCAAAAGGTTGTGTAACGAAATATTAAGTTAAGGGTACCATCATTTTTGTCCAGGCCAGTTTCATTATTTTGTTTTTTCTAATAATTCTGTTCAACCACAGGTGAAAACAATATTTGAGTTTTGTTGGACCATTTTCAGTGATTATTGCTGATTTTTCTTTCATTGCCAGAGGGGCACCAACAATTTTGCCCACGACTGTATATATAAAAGCTGTCAAAAATACCAAAACTTAGACATTAATTCATATTAAAACTAGTATTGGAATCAGTTCTAAAAAAAAAAAAAAAAAAAAAAAGGTCACAGAAATGAACCTTTCCTGATTGTATAACAGCACATAGACTAGTATACACCCATGGACACTATGAACCTACCTGGACCACTGAGGGATTAGACACATAATAAGACCACCTGGGAATAGAAGAGAAAATACTATCATTAAATGTTGAAAATCACATTGTATTTTCTAAAGAAAGAGTGTTTTAACTGTCAGCAGGGTATGAGAATCAGGACTGAGTATCAAATCTATTCCTTAGTATTGAAATCCAGTTTAAAAGTTTCATATGGTTCCAACTCTAATCAGAAGTAGTGGTGCTGGAGCAAAGGAGGAGCCCTGGAGCCACACTGACACAGACACAGCTGTTGGACTCAGCACAGGACTGTCTACACACAAGCACAAGTGACTGTGGATTCATATAGAGACATTTTAAAGGACAAAGTCTGTGTCATGGAGCACAGACGAGTGTAGGAATGTGTGGAGTGACGTCAAAGACTGGAGCTGCACAAACTACACACAACTCACATTTACACTGAAAATAATATGAAATAGATGTGTGAGAGGCTCTGAAACTAAAGGAAATATACATGAAAAAATAAATAAATAAATTTGAATCATCAATAAGTGAAAGCCTTTAAATCCATCTTTCATGAAAACATTTGTCCATATTAAACTCTAATGAAATGTGTGTCTCCACATGGGACTAACTGCTGCTGTGTTGTGTTTTCTCTCCATCAGATTTCTGTGATCTCACTCTGGATCCAAACACAGCTCAAAACATCCACAAACTGTCTGACAACAACAAGAAGGTGACAAATATGAGAAAGAAGGAGCTGGATAATCAGGACAGTTCTGAGTATAGTCTGATTCTGTGTTCCAATGGTCTGACTGGTCGCTGTTACTGGGAGGTCCAGTGGAGTGGAGGGGTTTGTGTATCAGTGTTTTACAGAGGAATCATAAGGAGAGCAGGAATGAGAAGGAATGCTGTTACCAGTGTTAACAAGTTTGGAGACTTAGATCAGTCCTGGAATCTGACCTGTTCTAAACATGGTTTCATTGTTTGGCATGGTGACCAACAAAAAAAACTCCCTCAGTCCTGGTCTTCCTCTTCTGGGAGAGTAGCAGTGTTTGTGGACTGTCCTGCTGGTTCTCTGTCCTTCTACACAGTCTCCTCTGACCAACTGACCCACCTCCACACCTTCAACACCACATTCGCTCGCACTCTGCTCCCTGGGTTTAGACTCTGGTCTGAATCTTCAGTGTCTCTGTGTGCTCCTTTGGATTATGAGAATGTAACACCTACAGGATCTACAGGTAGTTTTAATAACAAAGCCAGTCAGTGTGTGGGTCTATTACAGAGTGAACAAACTGTTAAGGTTGATTGATATGGAACAGGTGAGGACGCCACTGCAAGGGGTGAGGCTCCACACTAAAGTTGGGGTGAAGGAGACATGCTATAAATGAACAACACACAAGATTAATGCAAAGAAAATCATTACCACAACTGAAAACACCCAACTACAAGTGCCACCACCTATGAACTATGAATTAGGTCACCTTCTAAATTGAGCCCCCTCCACACCCAGCTATCTCCAGCCTACACCCACTGCAGAGCTGCTAAAGATTGGCAACAGAATAACTCAAACTAAATATCTCAAAATAAAAACTCAACTTCTTATTGTGCATTAGAACTGCCTCCAGTGGATTCTTTTTTATGTCTCAAAGTGATTTCAGTCGAGTTGAATAGAAAACAAACCAAGAGTATGAGCGGCTCCACAAACAACCCAACAGCCACATGCCCAGAGTGAGGAGTGGTTTCCATCAGAAGAACACGAGGAGATTTGGTCACACTTTAGAATAAGACACACCTACAAATCATTTGGAAATGTTTATTCACCATCAACTCATCATTTACTGAAAATGACCCATAAAAAGGTCTTGGGCTCAATGCTGCTCTGTGATTGGTCCAATTAACCGTACAGAGGACACACTCCAAGATGGATTCTGGTGAGTTTGTGAACTCACAGATATTGCCTGAAGCCATCGTGTTGTGCAAAGTTACTTTTAAATCTCTATTTAAGTGTTTAAGTTAAAGCTCATTTGTGTGCATATGTTTGTGCAGATTCATCCAGTTTGTGAAATATTGGACCTTTAAACATTCTTGTGTCTTGAAGTCTCTTTTAATTGAATCCAACAGAAACCGATGTCTTTATCGAGGTGCAAATGCAGAGAGAAGCAACTTCAAAAATTAAAATTAAAAAGTGTAGCACATTCAGATGGCTGAAGTACAAAACTTTGTGCTTCTTTCTTTCCTTATTCATTTATTTTTAGATTAGAAACATAATGGCATGGAAAAGCATCTGCAGAGGTAAGCCAAAGTACTCGTACCACTTTTGTACAAAACTGCATTTTGTGAAGCCCAGAGCAGGTTCAAATCTGACAAAAAGAGCCAGAGGCGTTTTAATTTGGTTAAGATTAGCGTTTCGGGACAGGTTTGTTTGTTTATTATTTACTGTGTTTCCAGAACAGAGGTTTGGCAGCTTGGAAAAAAGCTTCTGGTAACTTTTGTCTATTCAAAATATTATTAATCGCTATGGCAATTATCCAAAATGTTTCATTATTGTGAATCCCATGGATAAGACGAAACTCTTGTTGTATTAATATTACAACTTCAATAGACAAATACACAGTTTTAAAATGATTTTATTAAATATTTGAATAAAACATACTTTAAATTTAGATAATAGATTAAACATAACAAAATCTATAGTAATTTCTGCTTACAATAAAAGAAATCAAAAGAAAAAGTTAAGTTTTCTTATTGTGTTAATTCAAAATGCTTTTACTCTGTTCTACAGTATGGCATTAACCAAATCTATCTCCATGGAAACAAGCAGGTGCACCACCAGGCTAAGTTACAAGTCAGATCTGGTGAGAAGTGAGTCCGCTCACTGTAAGAATGCATGATTTTGTAGGTATTTTGTGCAATATGTAAAACACTGAAGCTCTGCTTTTCATTACAAAACCTCACCACTAGATGGCGCCATGAGCCTCTAAATATTCTAAAGGCATACTCGTTTACGGTGCATACACTCTTTTACAGTGAACATAAGTTGCTGTGGCACAAAAATACATTCAAATGAAACAGAAAACACACACTTAAGTTGTGGAGGTGCAAATGCAACAAACAGCAATTTAAAAATGAAAAAAAAAAAAATGCATAGCACACTCAGACCACCGATGTCCAAAAGCTTTTTAAATTTAATTTTAAATTACATTTTGGCAAAAAGCCTTCATCAGATCATTTTTTTCTTGCTTTGGACCCTTAGATAACGAGACAAAATAATACAGTGCAATAAGGGGATCTAACCTTAATCTTTGTAAGTGAAATGAAAAACCTTCAGGTTTGTTTTTGACGAGGGAACAATGCTACACTGTGATGAAAAGCTCAAAAACGTCGATTTAACAAATGTGTCTTTTCAATCTCTGACTAAGACTAAGCCTGATCTCCTCAGATCTCAGGAGCTCAGCAGAACCGGGCCTGGTCAGGACTTGGACAGGACACACTGGGAAAACCACGGGCCACAGTGGAGCACCTGTGGCAAACACTGTTGTGGTGTCCTTAGGCAAGACACTTCACCTATATCGTCTACTCTGAACATGGTGTGTGCGTGAGAGTTAATGGTGATCGGAGAGCGCAGATTGGTAGCCTCACTTCCAGCAGTCTGCCTCAGGGCAGCTGTGGCTATAACAGTATGTAGCACAGCGAGTGTGGGATGAATGAATAATACAAGTGTAAAATGGAAAACGGAGTGTGTGGAAAAACTCTTTGACACTAAAGCATTATTATTATTAACATGAAGTCATTTCACTGATGCTGATATTTGGATCTTTGCAGTCTAACCTGCTTCTAACAGACAAAGTACTAACTCTTTAACACAGACATCACATTTCCAGGGCGTTTCTGTTTTCATTCCATTCATTTCATCCACTATTGTCCTCAGTTGTGCTAATCTCTTTTATACTGTTTTTGCACAAATGAATCGACATATTCCTGAGTCCTTTTCCTGCACTCGTCCCAGCTGTACAGAGGCTTGTACTGGAAATGCCTGTACGCTTTATCCGTCTTCACTGTAAAGGAAGTACACAACTCTGTAAAAATATACATATTCAGCCTCGGTGTGTAGTTATAAAACGGACTCAAAATCCAGCGCAGGATTTGGTTCGTTATCGCCATGAACCACGCGATGAAGAGGGGAATGTGTATTTTTCTGAAGTTGCAGGAAGTGAAAAAATGCTCGAAGAAGTTTCGATGGCTTTCGTATGGAGAGTCGTCATAGCAACAGAAGGTCTCTCCTCCCACATTTTGGGGTTTGTCTCGAAGAGCGCGGGCAGCGAGCACGTGCATCCAGGCTACGTTACCTACAGACACAAGAGAGGGACAGGCAAAGGGTTAAAGGTCCTGTATGACACAACATGGACTCCTGTGAGCTTTAAAGCATGTTAGAATGTTCCCTCCTCAAAAACACACCTGGAGCTGTGTTTTGTTTGATTCACACATGTTTGAGTAACTATTTATTATTATTATTGTCATGAAGTGGTAGTTTTCATGTTAACAGCTCCTTTTTCCCTGTAGTTCAGTAGAAAGAGCCAATTCCAGCGCTGAAATGATCCAGATGATTCTACTGGAAGTGTAAGAGTTTAAAAACACAGTGGAGCACTTCCTGTATTCCCCCATGAAATCACAAGGTGGAACAGAGTGATTTCTGTGTGAGAGAAGAACTCAGATTCGTCAGCTTCTCTTCCTGGGGTCATTTAAAACTTCAGCTCCACAATTTAGTTCACACACAAGTGGGTCTGGTCAAGTGGTAACGGAGGGAAACAGGGGCAGATTTTTGACATTCAAATGTCTCTTATTCAGAAACTAGAGGAACTATTGAAATAAGTAAAGTATCAGAATGTAGGAAAGAGTTACACTCCAACAGGGTCAAGTTAAACCTGTGATATTCTTTCAAGTTGTTGACAAAAAATTTTAAAACTCATGTCGGTAACGGAGGGACCAGTGTTGGGAGGGTTACTTTTAAAATGTATCCCCCTACAGATTACATACCCCAAATGTAGTATGTAACAGAATCCATTAAGTTACTTTAGGTGAGTAACGTAATCTGAATACTTTGGATTACTTGATATTGACATTATGCTTTTTAAAACTACATGAATGTAGCAACCACATCCTGAAAATTGCTGTTTGTTTTCTTCAAATTGGCTGTTGAGCCCAAGTCTCCATGAATGGACTTTTGTTTACTGTAGAGAAACAAAGATGAGGATATTTTAACATAAGATATTTTTCTGCTAAAAGACAATAAAAAGCCCAGTAAAAATCTATAATAATTAATGTTTTGTACTCAAATGCAGAATCAGATTATTGACAATGACGATTATTAACAACCTCGTCCACTGTGTGACAGACGCCACCAACATTAACGTTAAGACGTTTACGTAGCTCTTATTGTGTGTGTTCTGTTCGGGTTTCCAGCAATGAGTGGAATTACCAAGATGAAAAAAAAAAAAAAAAGGGATACAGCCCAAAATGTGAAAACAGGAAAATACCTCTGTGTAATCCATTTATTTCAACAAAGTAACTGTAATCCACTCACCTCTCACTGAAACAGTAACTGTAACCGAATACAGTTACTCATAATTTGTATTCCAATTACGTAACGCCGGTACATGTAAACTAGGGTGACCAAACGTCCGTTTTTCCCCGGACATGTCCGTATTTTGCGTCATGTCCGGGGCGTCCAGGTTTTTTTTTTATAAAGTGATGCAAATGTCCTGGTTTTCAGTACCTTTCATTGGGACATTAAACTGAGCGTCTCTCGTATCTCTCTGTGACTCAGAAGGAGCACAAATGCGCATTTAACAATGACTTGTACAAGAAATTCTCCGTTTTCCGTCCCGGTCAGGACAAGTGGGAGTCCATGTGCACAGGTTGTGGAGGTGAGAGTACAGTGTCCCTCTTTATCGCGGGGGTTATGTTCTAAAAATAACCCGCGATAGGTGAAATCCACGAAGTATCAACTTTATATTTTACAATTATTCTATCTGTGTTAAGTCTGTAAAACCCCTCAGCACAAACTTTATACACTTTTCTCAGACAGGACAGGTGCAACCCTTTTTACTTCCTTCTTAAAACTTGTTGCTGCTGTCATGTCCTTTTGTTATTTTCCTCTATGTAACGAACTGAAGATTCATTTATTCCATAATGGAGCCCAACAGTGCAGAGTCCCGCACAGGGTCCATTTTTGGAGACCCCCAGTACAACACCGCACCAGCGCAGGACAGGACCGCACCTGCCCGTTAACCCGAGATTATATCAAACTTTTGCGCTGCCTACACCACGGACTGAACCAAGACTAAACCAGAACTAAACCAGGACTAACCCAGGACTGATTCCAGGACTGAAGAGGAGGACTAATCCACGACTGAACTAGGACTAAAACAGGACTAAACCAGGACTAAGCTAGAAGTGAAACAGGACTCACTATCGGGGCGGGCTCGGAGGTGACCACAGGAGAAAGGTTCAGTTCCGCACCTCACGGAGTTAAACGTGACAATTGCCCGATCGCGCTTTGCGGACAAACTGCTCGGCGTTTTCTCTCTTAAGTCCAAGATTAGACCTGGTTTAGTCCTGACCCACCCGTAAACTGTCACTCCCGAACACTGAACATGACTTAAAGTTCACTGAAGGAGCTTTAAGAGCTGCTTACTGTACAGACTAGGCCAAGACAAGTTTTGTTCAAATACAGGGGAAAAAAAAACAAAACAACTACAGCGCTTCACTACTTTGTCTGGAATCCTTCACAGTATGGCATTAAACCTTTCTATCTTCATGGAGACCAAACTAGACCAAGTAACAGGTCAGATCCATGGAGATGTGACCCCGCTTACAGTCAGAATACCTGTTTTTCTGGATATTTTTGAGCTGAAAATAACATCCAGAATTGAGTAAATGTAAGGTAGAGCCGTTTAATGTCATACTGTGGAACATTCCAGGCAGAGCAGTGGTAAAGAAACAAGCAGATGACGGACCCCAGCCAAAAGCAAGCATAATATGATGAGCTAATTTTCCATACTGTTCACCTGCATAGACTCGCCCGTGCTCCGTGCCGTCCGGGACAAAGCTCCTGATGACCCCACCATCCTGGACACAGCGCTTCCAGAATTCCTTAAGCAGATTACAGCCCTCTCCATAGATGCCTGTGGGTCTGAGGGAGCAGGTGAACATCGTCTTCCCACCCTTCACCTGCAGCAAGAAAAAGAAACTTCATTAAAGGCCGCTTCACTAAAGGCAAGTGTCCGATCAAACTCCGTCACACGCCGCGGGAGAATGAGGGACAATGTGTCCGATTAAACTCCGTCACACGCCATGAGAGAATGTGTCCGATTAAACTCCGTCACACGCCAAGAGAGAATGTGTCCGATTAAACTCCGTCACACGCCATGAGAGAATGTGTCCGATTAAACTCCGTCACACGCCAAGAGAGAATGTGTCCGATTAAACTCCGTCACACGCCATGAGAGAATGTGTCCGATTAAACTCCGTCACACGCCATGAGAGAATGTGTCCGATTAAACTCTGTCACACTCCACGGGAGAATGTGTCCGATTGAACTCCGTCACACACCTCGGGAAAATGTGTCTGATTAAAAGCTTTGATTTCAGGGAGGCGTGACCCGACTTTGTGTTTTTGTGTGCGATTTTGAAGCCACTGTGCTCCATGTGTTGTGTGTCTGTGTGCGTTTCTCATGTGTGTTTGTGTATTCCTCATGTGTGTATGTGTGTGCGTGTTTGTCATGCGTGTGCTCCTCGTCTCCTTGTGTGTGTGTGTGCTCCTCATGTGTACGTGAGTGCCCCTCATGTGTGTGTGTGCTCCTCGTGTGTGTGTGTGCTCCTCGTGTGTGTGTGTGTGTGTGTGCTCCTCGTGTGTGTGTGTGTGTGTGCTCCTCGTGTGTGTGTGTGCTCCTCGTGTGTGTGTGTGCTCCTCGTGTGTGTGTGTGTGTGTGCTCCTCGTGTGTGTGTGTGTGCTCCTCGTGCGTGTGTGTGTGTGCTCCTCGTGTGTGTGTGTGTGCTCCTCCTCGTGTGTGTGTGTGTGTGTGTGTGTGCTCCTCGTGTGTGTGTGTGCTCCTCGTGTGTGTGTGTGTGCTCCTCGTGCGTGTGTGTGTGTGTGCTCCTCGTGTGTGTGTGTGTGCTCCTCGTGTGTGTGTGTGCTCCTCGTGTGTTGGTCAAAGTCAAAACACGTTGTAACTTGACCAGCTGTTTTCTTTGTGAACAGGAGATTCCTGCATCAGCTTAAATTACACAAGAGTTTATGTAATGACGTCACTTTAAATTTCATTTAAAACAATCCAGTATTTAACTTTAAACTAGTGTTGTCACGATATTAAAACTCTACTTCGATACAAAGGAAGGAGTAGACTCAGTACTTGATACTGGCTCTGATACCACGATGATAATAACAATACTCTATCAGTTTCAGCATTAAATATTAGTGCTTTTATATCCCATGTGTAATATCTCATATGTAATATCAGATGTGTGTAATCCCTCAGTGGTCCATGTGTGTTTACTCGTCTATGTGCTCTTTTAGTTCTGATACAGCTCAACATCATTGTAAAGTCATTCAGGAAAAGTTCATTTGTATCCTGTGAATGTGACTTTTTTAGTATTGATACCAGTTCAAATAAGTATCTAGTTTTGATACTAGGCCTATCTTATCTTCTACTCGCAGTATTTGAGATCGAAGTGGATCAAACACCGGTTGAACGACTATTTGCTGTTCTTGTGATTTTTAGACTGAAGGTCCTACATTACACAAACATCACTCTTGTGAGCTTTAAGCCACGTTCTAATGTTTTTACCTCAAAAACAGACCTGGAGTTGTGTTGATTCATTTCCACATGTTTGAGTAACTCTTTCTGTCTGCCTACATCTCACAAGCTCAGAATACTCTGTTCCAGCTTGTGATGTCATGAAGTGGTAAAATAGCTACAGCCAACTAGTTCAGTAAAAATGGCCAATTCCGGGGCTGAAATTATCCGGATGATTCGAGTGAATATATATGAAGTTTAAAAACATAGTGGAGCACTTCCTGTATCACCACATGACATCAGAAGGTGGAACAGAGGGTTTTCCATTTGAGAGAAGAACTCAGCCTAAATGTGCAGGTTTGTGTGTTAACTCTTTCCCCTCTGGACGCCTACTAGGAACAACCCATACATATGTTACTAGGGCTGCCCATACAGCATAATTGCATAAAAGAAAACAGACTTCCACGAGGGATTTCAGGGCAATTTTGGTTCATATTCGAGTATAAAGCCCGGATAGTTTGTTCAGATATCGCAGGACTCCATACAGACGCATCAGCGGCATTCTCATCTTCGTAAGTTTCACTCTCTGTAAGTCCGTCGCTGTCGCTGTTTTCCACTTTATAATCACCCTCATCATCACTTTGAAATCTATAAAAGTCACTTTCTCTAAACTTATCCATAAAATACGTCCGCTCCTCATTATTTCTAAAACTGTGCACCGCAGCGCGCGCGATCTTTCCATTACACATGTTTCGTGTTGTGTTTTTTCCGGAACCTACAATCGTCACTACTTCGATTAACTTTGGAAAAAATCTGCGAAAACATATCCTTGAATCCTATTGGTCAGTCTAGTGTGGGTTGTAGTGGCCTCCACCTATCACAGTCTCTGTTTACATGTGAAAAACCGAGCCGTTTCTAAAGGTCGTCAAATCACGTCTTTAGTGATACAGCGGAGGAGTCAAAAGTCGTCATTAAGGAAACAGGGGGGTCGTCAAATGTCGTCTTCATGGGGGAAAGAGTTAAACATGTTTGAATGAAAGAGAACCCAACTCCAGGTGTGTTTGTGATGAGGAAACTGTTAGAACACAGATCAGACAATAGTGTCATATGGTGAGATGTTCTCACCTTGGTCCCATTGGCTTTCAGCAGCAGCTTCTCAGCCTCACACTTGGTCTTGGCATAAGTCATGGTGTGTTTGATGGGGTAGGGCAGGTCTTCAGTGCCCCTGAAAAAAAAAGAATCATCTTTGTAGTTTTCCTGTTGTGGCTGAGCAGTGGAGGGGACCCAAAAATGGACAGCAGACCAGGTAAAAATAAAAGGTGAATTTATTTTACAAAAATGGAGGCAGGGCTGGATTTCAGGCAGGAGACGACAAGGAAAACGTGCTTAGGACGAAAACAATCTGGCAGAGTGTCACAGGTGAGCAGGTCTCAAGTAGTCAGGTCCTTGATTAACTGCAGGTGAGGACAATTAGAGGTCCCCGGAGACTCCGCACACACACACACACACACACGCGCACACGCGCACACACGCACACACGCACACACGCGCACGCACGCGCACACACACACACACACACACACACACACACACACACGCACACACACACACACACGCACACACACGCACACACACACACACACACACGCACACACACGCACACACACACACACACACACACGCACACACACACACACGCACACACACACACACACACACACACACACACAGCACGCACACACGCACACACACCACGGAAAGGAGGGAGAGGAGCACCAGTCATGACATTTCATATATATTATTTGTGTGCCACAGTTTTGTGAGTCTTGGTAACAGAAGAAACATAAGGACCAAAGAGTTTGTTCAGAATGATTCCGGTGTAGTAACCACTTCATACTTCAGGGGTTTATTATATGTTCTACTTCATTTATAAAGTTCTTCTTTATGAATGAAGCAGAACATAGATTTGAGTCATGACTGAAAGAACAAGATCACAGATACAAGCAGCAGTTCAAATGAGTTTCCTCTTCACAGAGGCTGAGCGTTCTCTTAGAGATACAGGGAGGAACTCAGTCACACGGGAGGAGCTCGGAGTAGAGCCTCTGCTCCTCTGCGTCGAGAGGAGCAGTGAGGGGAGGGCATCTGTTCCAGACGCCTCCTGTAGGAAATCTGCACACATTTTTGTAAATCCTTATTAAGTAATAAAAAATTAGATAAGAGTAGTGATAATCTTGTGTTTTCTAAGAGAAAAAGACAATCTTTTCATTCACTTATTCACTGTCATCCAAATGTGACGTCTGTGGAGTCGAGTCGTTCTGAGCCGAGCACACGTATCAGAGGAATGTTTGGATTCCTCTGGATCAAACATGTGGCTGAGGAAAGAATGACACAGGGGAAGTGTGCAGTGCATTGTGGGATGTGTGCAGGGTCCTGCACATGTGCACATGGAGGATCACTTCAGCACCAACACAGAGCTGTTTTATAAAGTAGAAATGGAAAAGAATGGAAAAATATACCATTATAAATGATATGTTTTTGTAGCTTTGGGGTGACACAATTATTTCAGTTATTTTACAGTGTCAATATTTTACGAGGTCAGTCACTCGGTCGTGTCCATGGGAATGAATTGCTTTGCCTGTAATTTTCCACTGAACTCAATTACAGGTATTTTAATGTTCAAAGACACAAGATTTGGCCCTTGTTTACAGTATGGTTGCCAGGGAACAGTTCAGCCAGGAAGTAAAATGATAAACTTCACCAAAATTATAAAACTAGAAAAAGAATCCAAAATCGGAAAATGACTTGTTTTCTATTTCCTAATCATGAAATAAAAATGGAAAAATATGTAAATAAAGTCTGTCTTTATTGGTTTTCAAAGACAAAATATATTTAAGGTTTTCCTAAAAATCGTGCCTGTTATTTTCTAGTTTTGAAATGTTGTTGAAGGTTATGCCTGGACTCACTCACTGACTTTGGTCAGAGGATGCAGAAGATTACCTGATGAAATCTTGAGTGGTTTGGACCACGGCCATGCTGCTGGTGTAGATGAGGCTGCAGATGCCATTTTCCACACAAGCCTGGATCACATACTCAGTCCCTGAAATGACAAAATATTTGATTAGATGCTCACAGAATGACAATAAACTAAGCATTTTCTTAAAAGACTTAAAGCATATTTAAAGCAATACTGTGTAACTTTCTGGAGGAAGTTTAAACCCTTCAGGACCTTCTCCAGATTTATGTTTTATGTCCTGCTGTTTAAGATTATTCACAATTCACTCCTGCGTTGTTGTTGTTGTTTTTTTTTTTTTTGTTTGTTTTGTTTTGTTTTTTGCAAACTGGGTGCACTGGGACATCTATTGTGGGTTAATAAGACCAGGCCCTATTTAAATGAATGGCAATTCACCAGCGTATACACTAGCATTGTAGTCAAGACCACACTAATTGAGACTAAGACTTGTCCAAGACCACAGGGTTCCAAGACCAAGGCAAGACCAAGACCGCTGAGTGTCGAGACCGAGACAAGAAGGAGACTTTTAAAGGTCAAGACTGAGATAAGACTAAGACCACGGTCCATCAAGACCAAATCAAGACCATCTTTGTTTGTTTTAGCACATATATATCAATGTTTTTTATAAATCTATATTTTATCTGATTAATGTTCACTTAAACTCTGTGCCCTTTTTTGGACCCTCATCCACAGTTTGAGAACCCTTCTTTAAGCCAACTTCCACTGGCAAGTTGCAGAAAATTGCTTCAAAGTGAAGAAAGTGTGTAGGATATTTAAACCAGTTTTCCTAACATGAGTGACATTCTCTTATTGGTTTTGAGCAGCCTCTCCACATTTACCAAACCAAACGCACATCATGACAAGCACAGATTTTATTAGGCAAATTTTAGCCCACATATCACAGTAGACCTCTGCTCTGTGCTGTAATTTTGTATCTTCATAAACTCTCTATCTTACAACTAAAATCATCATTATAACACTATTCATTTGACCTGCCCCCTTCTGTATGATATAACATCCAGCTCCTCCTGGGGAACCCCGAGGTGTTCCCAGGCCAGCCGAGAGACATAGTCCCTCCAGCGTGACCTGGGCCCGGTACACCTTCTGAGGCAGGCGCCAAGGAGGCATCCTGTACAGATGCCCGAGCCACCTCAGCTGCTCCTCTACTTCGAGCTCCTCCCGTGTGACTAAGGAAACTCATTTCGTCCGCTTGTATCTGTGATCTGGTCCTTTCGGTCATTACCCAGAGCTCATGACCATAAAACCTATAAAACCACCCGCAATTAAATAAATGTAAGGTAGAACAGTTTAATGTCAAACTGTGGAACATTCGAGGCAGAGCAATGACATATCCACAGAAACAACCAAAAAGTTACACAGTGCACCTTTAACAAGCAAATATCAGCAGTTACACATGCCTTTACGTGCCCTGTGGATCACTGTGACTGATGTGTTTCACTGCACAGGACACACACATTACACCTGGTGTGCACTGACTGCAGGTGCAAGACTTAGAAAGTCATTCAAATCAGTGTCCTCCTGCCACACTGTCCTCAGTCCAGGTGCGGGTGGAGAGTCGGCCTGTGGAAAGAATCTGCAAGAAGTCTATCTTTACCAGACACCTCTAGGCCTCTGCTCTGTGTTGTAGACCTCTGCTCTGTGTTGTAGGTCTCTGCTCTGTGTTGTAGACCTCTGCTCTGTGTTGTAGGCCTCTGCTCTGTGTTGTAGGCCTCTGCTCTGTGTTGTAGACCTCTGCTCTGTGTTGTAGACCTCTGCTCTGTGTTGTAGGCCTCTGCTCTGTGTTGTAGGCCTCTGCTCTGTGTTGTAGACCTCTGCTCTGTGTTGTAGACCTCTGCTCTGTGTTGTAGACCGCTGCTCTGTGTTGTAGACCTCTGCTCTGTGTTGTAGACCTCTGCTCTGTGTTGTAGACCTCTGCTCTGTGCTGTAGACCTCTGCTCTGTGTTGTAGACCTCTGCTCTGTGTTGTAGACCTCTGCTCTGTGCTGTAGACCTCTGCTCTGTGTTGTAGGCCTCTGCTCTGTGCAGACACTGTAGCATAAATATAGATTAGTTTTTGCTTTGCGTTTCATCTTGCTCTTCTGATCAGCACACATTGAGGATAATTCAATAATAATTCAATAATTCACTCTGTGAATTGGGTTGCCTCTCCACAGATCTGACCTGTAACATGGTCTGGTTTGGTCTCCATGAAGATAGAGAGGTTTAAAGCCATACTGTGAAACATTCCAGACAAATACCATCTCATGGAGAAACACATTTGACAGACTGTCCACCAGAAAAGTTACACAATGTACCTTTAATGAAAAAACAATAGAATCAAAAATAAATGTGAAATTTGGCACAAGGATTCTCTTCTCTGGCTTCCCGATCAAAAGAGTCAAACGGGGGACCTATGACATATTTTGCATGGTGTTGCCATGGCGATGAAGCATGTTAGCGTTTCTAATGTGTGTTTCTTGTTAAAAGTTCATGATGAACGTGAACTGCTCCAGCTGAGGGAATGATACAAGAATGCAACTTTAGCCCACTTCAGTTTTCTAGTGAAGTTCAACCCAAAGCTGCTACTGCTGCATTTCACACGACACCACAACATTCTCTAGGCCCATGTTATATCATACAGATGGGGGCAGGTCAAATGAATAGTGTTATAATGCTGATTTTTGTTGTAATATAGAGAGTTTATGAAGATACAAAAGTTTAATACCATACTGTAGAACATTCCAGACAAAGCTATAACATCTCCATGGAGAAAAGCATCTGACAGACCCCCCCACCAGAAAAGTTGCACAATGCACTTTTAAAATACAAGCCACCGTTTTACCTTTCACGTTGACGTTGTATATGACAGAATCTGGGACCTTGTACCACACGTCCACCACACTGGCTGAGTGGATGAACACGTCAACCCCGCGAGAAGCCTCCAGGACCTGGGTATAGTCTGTGATGTCCCCCTGGATCAACACCACCTTCGTGCGCCCTAAAACAGAAAATAAAGTGTATTATGAACGCGAACTGCTCTAGCTGAGGGAAAGATACAATAATACAACTTTGGTCCTCTTCAGTTTGTTTTGTGAATGCACTTTTAGTCTGTTTAGTGAAGCACAACCCAAAGCTGCTGGAAGTTGCAGGGGCATCGCCATTTGATGCCACCTGCGAAATGTATTTAAAATAAAATCAAAACTGAATCTGCACTTCCTGAATAGTGACAGTCACCATGGTTATTGTTGATACTAATAGAGAAATTCATGAAACTGTTCCTAGTTCTGTCAGTCTTGGTTTAATCCCACTTAAATCTTATTCTAGACTTGGTTTGGTCCTGTTCTAGTTCAGGTTGAGTGTATTTATATGAACATATTTCTATATTTTACTTTACTTGTGCGTATACATTTATATAATGATGCTGTATTTGACAGAACTCTCTAGCTATTTTTTGTATTGCTACTCATTTAGAAGTTTTAATACAGTTTTTCTATTTTTTATTTACTCTTTGTTATTGTAATATAATGTGAAGTGTGAGCTACTGTGTCCAAGTAATTTTCCTTGTGGATCAATAAACTTTGTCCAAGTCCAAGTCCCAGTTTTGTTGTTGCGTGTGCAGATTATTTCTCCAAAACTCATTCCTCGTTGAAATACATGTTTCCTTTTGTAACAGGAGTGAAATGGGACAGTCTGAGGAACTTCAATGTTTCTTCTATGTTGGTGGAGAGTAGGCCTGCGGAAAGAATCTGCAAGAAGTCTGTCTTTACCGGACACCACAGTGGTCTCTGACACCAAGCTGACAAAATCACATGAGCAAAACAGGGAATCAGACGGCAGAACTGACAGTTCTGGTGTACTTTCAGAATAAAATATCCCTGCACACTCCTGGTACTTCACAAATCTACTTACCCAGTGTAGATCACCACAGTATCCAAAAGCACGAGATAGTGGTATGTTAATCTATGGCATGAACTCCTGATGTGCACGCGGTGATCTGAATGATCAAATTATGAGCGCGTGCGAGAGATTCAGATGCCCTCCCTGGAGAGGGAAAGGAGCGAGGGAGGGACACGAGGATACGAGGACACAGATTTAGCAGATACAGATGTTATTCTGCCAATTAAAATCCACACGAAACATCCAAACTGCTGACCTGTGAGTGTGGGTCTGGGTCGGGGGCATTATTCTGTTCTTCCTACAGTCAGAGAGCAGCTCTCATGTGCAAAAGTTCCCTATTACACAAAAATGTAGGGAAGATTTTGGTTGGGGTCAGGTTCGGGCAGTAGGCTTTGTGTCGTGCACAGACTCGGGTCACTCTGCCGCTCGGTGCGTAAAGACTAAAGTAAAAGTGTTAAAGTTGCGTTCATTAAATCAAAGCCTGGCTCCTACAGTGTCCAAGGGAAGAGTTTTTGTCTCAGGTCGGTTCATTATTTCGTCCTCTGTGTGGGTCACAGTCACAGTCTGTGTTCTATAGAAGTCTGTGGTCGTGGTGTGGACCGTGTGAGACTCTGCGCTACACCGGGAACATGGCCGCACTCGTGCACGAGTTTCAAATGTATAATATTGTGGAGAATAATGAGTGGAATAAACAGCCCTTCTCCCTGTTTTGGTGAACCAAACATTTAAATGCACAAATCTGAAGGTCATTCTTTTATATACGTGGATTTTCTGATCAAACACTTCCTCAAACTCTTTTCAATTCTGCTTCTCTCCACGGGTGTCACTTTTTCCCCGTGTCTTCAGACTTTGCTTAGAGCTTACAGCAGGTCCCGAGTTGGTGTAGAGTTAAGCAAAGTGCCACGCTTTAGTTGAGGTTCATAAATACCGTGGTTGGCGTAGAGAGCGTGTACGCAAGGATTTTTGTGTAAGCGAGCTTTATAAATGAGGCCCAAGAGCTTTAATTCCTGCAAATATGTTGTCTCAGGAGCGCAGTTTCCACACTCTGCCTGCAGCCTGCTGCGACCACACAGCAGCAGAGAGCGCAGTCAGTGGGCCATAAAAGTCACAGTAAAACTGCACTGAACCTGAACTGCACCACAGCTGCAGTCAGCAAAGTACAAGTTCAACAAGTCATCCAACTATTTGAGTAAACTTACTCAGCTAAACCAAAGATTTCACTTTTTCAGCTTTGCCTTTTACCTGTGCTCTCCTCCTCCATGCTGGGGTCCGTGTGTTCATCAAAGACCCGAATCTCCGACACACTCTCCTGCTCTTGCTCCAGTAAAACCCGCACCAAGTGTTTGCCCAGGAAGCCACAGCCCCCGGTGATGAGGTACACAAGCCCCCGCGGCTCTCCTGACATGTTAACAGGTAGTGGAGCTGAAGATAGCAGCAGAGGGGACAACGCTTCACTGTGTCTGCTGACTCTCTGTCGGGGCTGTGAGGTCCACAGACACACAGGAGGAATTTAAACCACGGGAGGAGCCAGAGGGGAACATCACGTTTGATTGGTCCATTCGTCTGCGCTGCTGGAGTGGCACTGTTGCCGTGTGTCCAGGCTGTGACTGTAGCCTCTTATTGTAGTTACAGCAGCTTGAGTTTGTTTTGTTGACGTTGTTGGGGCTGGGTGTGGGCTGTGGACCAGGTTGTGCTGCTGTGTAAATATTACATTTGGCTGTGTGCTCTGATTGTGAAAACCAAACACAGTGAAGCATAGGACAGAGGACTGATGAAATATAAGAGAAAGAATTTATATTCATTCAAGATAGAGATAGATAGATAGATAGATATAGATAAACTGTATGGATATAGCAGAGTCTTGCAATGGGTCGGGTACCCGCTGGTTACACCCATTACTACACTTGGACTAAACCAGGTCTAAACCAGGACTAATCTTGAACTCAAGAGAGAAAAAACCCTGAGCCCGCGGAGCAGGGTGTCCACAAAGCGCGATCAGGCAACCATTGCACTTACCTCCGTGGGGAGGTTTGTATTCTGATGGATGCTTCAGTTAGAATGCTTTTAATCTGTGTGTGATTTATCACGGGCACGGGTGGGTAACGGGTGGAATATTAACGGGTCCGGGCAGGTGCAGGTTTAACTTTGATATAATCACGGGTGAACGGGCGGGTGTGGTGCTGTACTGCGCAGGTGCGGGCAGATGCGGGTCTCCAAAAATGGACCCGTGCAGGTCTCTGTGCTGTAGGGCTCCATCGGTTCGTTACATAAAGAAGGAGGAAAATAACGGACAACAGTAGCAATACATTTTCAGAAGGATACAAAAAGAGTTGTAACTGCACTGTAACAAATTTCCTGTAAATTTTACAGTAAACACCTGGCAATTTTGTTGCCAGCTAGTTATTGTAATATTTCAGTCCATTGTTGTAATATCAATTTACAGTTGCTTGCTGGATTTGATTCCCAGCTATTTATTGGATCCATTTTACAGCTATTTACTGGTATTATGAAAGCAGGAATTAATTGTACAGTAATTTACAATATAGCCCTGTATTTTAATTTACAACTATTACCTGGCAATTTTCTTGCCAGTAATAACCTGTCATTTCAAATTACAGGTTATTACTGCAAATAATATTTCCAATTACAGTTGTTTACCCCTTTTGTGTAATTATATTGAAATACTGCTAATTCATCAAAAAAAAAAAAAAAAAACAACTAAAGAAACACTGAAGTAGAAGGAAAACAATTTATTCAACAATAAATATCCAACAATCTGGGCAGTCTTAACATTGCTTGGTTGAAAACATTTCACCAAAAAAAAAAAAAAAAAAAAAAAAAGACTAAAGTACATAAATACATTATTTTTACTCCATGTACTTTGGGAGGAGGGTGCTGTCAATTCAAAATAATAAGACAATATTCCAATAAATATAAAAGTATAAAACAAATATTGACACTTTTGTCCATCTTTTTTAACCAATATAGAATTCTTATACAACAACTTTAACCAAAATGAGTGTACAACAATGCAGTGAGAAGTTACAACTGAAGCCACTCAAAATCCATCAAGCATTTAAGGAGGGTAGCAACAACTGGATGGACAGCATTGTTTTTCTTTTCAGTCACTTTTCCAGATTTTTGGAGGAGAACTCTTACCGTCTTCGTGCTAAATGAGGGGTTTAGTCCAACAAAACATCTGCAACCACAAATAATAGATATAAAACAGTATTCATTCAAATTAAACAATCTATATTCCTGGGTCTAGTTGGTAAAACAGTCAAACAGCATTACAGAAATAATATATTTTAACTGAATTACACTGTGTAGTTTTAATCAATTTACGAGCATAGACAGCAGTTTTCCCTTACTCTGTGTGAATGTTTGATATTGGTAAGGTCAATCTCTCCTGTGACCTAGTATGGTAATGATGAAAATTAAACTCAAAGAAGTAAGCTTTGTAAATAGAAATGTGGGTGTGTACAGGACAGCTTGTGTGTACTTTGATTTATTACTTTTTAACAGTGACCAATGTGACCAGTACTATAAAGTACTCTTATACACACCCACATTTTCATTTACTAATCTGCAGCAGAAAATCTTACACAGTATCTTACAACTCTGAGTTTAATTTTCTTCATTACCATACTAGATCCCAGGACAGACTGACCCTGCCGGTACCAAAGATTCACACAGAGTAATGGAAAACTCGTTTATATGCTCCTTATTTATTGAAAACTCATAAATAATCTACACAATGTAAATAAATCCAAATATACACTTTCTGTAATCTTTTTTGCCCTTTTTAAATAGAATATGTATCAGAGTCAGACCCCTCCACTAAGATTATTTACCTACTTTTTTGTTACTTGTTATTTTTTCATTCATCTTTTTTTCTAACTCACCTGGGTGAAAAGATATGAATTTGTTAAAATTGGTACTATAGTCACATACAGTGTCACATAGTCGTGAAATTTGGAACAAAGAATTAACATCAAGTTCTGCTCCTGCCCCATCTCCTGTGCTCCTCTTGCATTCTTACCTTTGGATGAACTCCAAGGTGCATGCAGCTTGCTCCTGATATACCAGATTGAAGTTGTAGAAACTGGCAAATAACGCTGCTATTCCCACAACCATATTGTCATGTGTAGGCACCACCACCTGACCCTCAATACTGAGCATTCACTCTTTGGCTGTGAGGACATCTCCTAGCAAATATATTTCTATATATAGTTAAACTGTATAGCACAAACAAATAACAATTAGCATTAGCTAACACCAAGTCTTGGAGAGTCGGGAAGCTGGGTTCTTTCTACGTCAGCTGGTGTTGATGAAATCTGAAAGATAAAAATGCACTTCAATTTTTAGACTGCATACACAAATAATATACATGTACATAAAGAAACTGCTCCACTTACATCCACTGGCCAAAAGATTCCATCGGGTTTCTCTTTAAAGTGAGCCATGAGCAACAGGATGACACATGGACAGGGATCACATCCGTCAAGGTCATTGTACTTCCACAGGATCTTCTGTATTTCACCAGGAGGACCAGTTGGTTTGTTGTCCAAAAATTGAAGAATGAACTTCCCCTTTCCCTCGATGGCTTGCTCCAATTTTTCCAAAATGCTAATGTTAGTGAGTAGTTGGAAGTGGTTGTATAATCCCTTTGGACTGAAAAGGTATGACCAATCAAGTTTATACTCTCTAATGGAGCAAGTGGGGACAGCATTAATGTGTTGGCGCTGGAGGTAGTAGATTGCTTCCATCAAACGTTGAATGTGTGCAGTTTCCTCTCCAGCAGGGCCCTGGGTGCAGAAAAGTTCTTTCATCTCTGTTTGTTTCTGCTGAAGGCTGCTTTCTGTTTCACCTGATGGACAATAGGGCTGCCACCTGACACAACCATATTGGTCAGATGAACCTCGAGGTAGAGTGGCAGGCTTGGGGAGAACTTTATTTCTTCGTCTGCAATGTGTATTTCCACGATTTACATGCTCAACTCTTGTCTTTATTTGGGATAAAATGGAACCATAACCACTACCAATGCAAGTTCCATCTCAAAATGTCCCCAAAGCAGTTGCAGTGTGATTTTACTACTCTTCTTGCTACTGTAAGGCACTGAGATTTTGACGGGTTGACATCATAAAGCCTCATTTCATCCACTAAAATCCTGATCATTTCTCGTCTGTCCTTTGCGCAAGGTCTCTTTTCTTGTGCTTCTGCTGTCCTAATGCCAGGAGGCATCCTGTGCCAAGGAATTTCAAAGTTTTCAGCCCAGTCATTTAAAGTGACAGTCACTGTAGAGATTGGATTGGTAAAAGTTGTTGTTATTGTTTCGAGTACTGGATGTGGTGGAGTCTTCAGTGCTTTGGTTGAAGATAATGTCTGAATCCATAGGCGTCAGTGTAATGCAAGCTTCCTCTGTAAAGGAAGTACATCACCTAATCATTTAGTGTTGCTTGGTCGGTCAAACCTCTTGAATAGTTAAGATTTATTATGTAAATGTAACACCAGATCATCATGACCATCGTTGCTAAGAATGAATACCTTGTGTTTACCAGGCTTTCAAAGGTTTTCGCTGCTGGATTGGTGTCAGATTTCGTGATAGGTCCTCTTCTTTGAGGAATTTTAAATCCTCCTTTGACTCCACCCCTATAGTAACCAATGTTTGCAGGAGACTCTCAATTTTTTCAGTTGCCAAGCCTGGCAGGACTGTCTTCACAGTCTGCCTCACCTCTTGCTCCAGGGTCAACATCTACAAGAGAGTGACGCAAAGCAAGCACGTCAGTGTCATTAACATTGTACTTGTACAAAGGGATAATAATCCAATAAATCTTTGTGTTCTACACACAGACTGATTGTGGCATCTCCTTTAGACTGTAAACACCCAAATGCAACATTTCTCTAGCCACTTCTTGTATTATGACAAAATAAACAATACTGCTGCTGTGAACCAAAATCAATATGACTTCTCCAGCCTTCAAACCTGCACTATCCTGGTCAAGAACAACATGCATTTTTGTATCTTGTGCCTTTGACAGTGATGTCACTAGTTGTCACTGTGGTTGTACTGCTGAATTTAAATGATGACACAGCATGTTGTATGCTTTCATTAAGGTCATTTGGAAAGAAATCTGCTCCTTTCTCTAACTGGATAACAGGGGGGAAAAGACTGCCTGCACTTAAATACGCCTGAAGCAGTTGGTGTCGTTCAGTTGAGCTGGCACAAAGGCTTTTAAAATTTTGCAATTTCCTGGCACATTGTTTAAAAAAGTTGTGCTTGCTTTCAAATTGCAGGGTCCATAGATGGATGAGTGGTCCAAACTTGAGAATTAATTCCGGGTAGTGACAGAGAAAATGATGCTTGGGTTTGAGTGTCTTGTTTGGAAAAAAATTCTGCTCTCAGCTCAATATATTCCTCAATCAGAACGCGCAAGTAAGCAACTTGATCCGGAGTGATTGCAGGAGCACATATGTAGGAAACCATATCCCTCATCAGTAAAACAAGTTTCCAAGCATCACTTTCTTCATCTCTGATTTTATCCCCAATTAAAATTGGCAGCAGTCGTAAAAGGCACCAATTTTGGACAGCATGGCCACTCAACTTTTCACTGTTGGGGTTGTATTCAGGAGGCTTGTCTATAGCATCATTCTCAAGAAACGTAAACTTTGTGATCCTGCGGTTTAAGTCAGCAAAAGTAAACCATTTGTCCTCATTAACCAAGTGGTTAATGCACAGTGCCAGATCAAAAGACACAACACCCTCAAATAGGTCATGCCCCAAACACGGTGGAAACCCAGGCTGACAGGTGTGAAAGGAATCCAAACGATTGAAGATGGAGTCAAACTTTACTCCACAAACTGAGTTCGCATTTACAGTTTTGATATGTTGCACATTCTGCTGATATGACTGTTTTGTGCGATTTACACCCATGGATAGGGGATTCAACTGAAATGTTTGTCTGTCTATGTTGCAAAATCTGCAAAAATTTGAATTTATACTAAAATTCTCTACAAATCCTGCAATACAGTGTGACCCGAGATTATCACCTGCAATGGCAGTGACAAAGCCTTTAATCATTGTGCCATCTTTCAAAATAATGCCCGTTTTCTCCAGGTGTTGCAGATCTGTTACCAATGGCATAAAAAGCATGTGCTGTCCAAAATACTTAAAGTCCTACTCCCTGCACAGCAGGACTAGCTGCATATGATCAATGTTAGACCTGTTGTAGGGCAGAATAGTGGCAAAAGTCATGTACATGGCCAACACTTTGTGTTTTTTCCGTCCAGATCCCAGAGGATTAACAACTTCAAAGCTGTCTTGATAGAGTACCAGTGCTAAAGCAGATCTGTCCTCTTGCAGTAAAGTGTTTCTGATTGAATTCTGTCCATCCCATATGTCCTTTAAAACATTCTTGTTTGTAACTCGTAACAGGGTCTTTTCATATTGCTCTTTGAAAGACACAGATTCAAAGAGATACAACGGTATTCTGTACTGGTACATAATAGGCATAGCAGTCTTTACCAGAGTGATTTTTACTTAAATACATAGGCAGAGGTTCAACATAATTGAAGTTTGTTTTAAACACTGACTTGCAACGTTGATTTGTACGCAAAATGTTGTTGCTTTTTCTAAAAAGATCATGCTTTTGAAGTTCATCAATCACAGAGGACACTGAATGGTCAGCCAAACCAACAGCCGAGAGTTTTTCCTTGAGTTTTGAAAAAAGATGAGACTGAGCAACATCATGGACTTTTTCAACCTCTTCAACAATTGTCTGTATTACTGAAGCTGGTAACAGGAACTTGGTCTGGAGCTTCAAGTAAAACAATGACAAAGTCAGGTTCTCATTCACGCTTTCAGTATGGGCACTTGCAGCTTCGTGGTAGTCCTCATTAGATGTGGATGGCTGACAGAGAGGCACGAATGGCTCATCAAACTGTTCTTGTTGAACTGTCTCTAGGGTCACCTCAGGTACAGTTTTTAATGGACTTTTATGTACTCTTCCAAATGACAGACGAATGTGTTTACTATTCCAAACATTTTATGACATCCACTATACGGGCACGTTATTTTCCATCCTTCCTTTATACGACCTCTAAGATGACTGATGAACTTCCGTCTGTCTCTGAATGTTTCTTTGCAAAATTTTATTTGACATGTCATTGTTAGTTGATGTTCACTGCCTCCTGACACATTTTTCTTATGGTCTCTGTAAATGTGAGACCTAAAAGCAGCAAACTTGGTGAATGAGCATGTACAGTCAGGTACGCCACAGTCAAAAGGGAGATTTGGGGTATTACTGTGAAGTTTCATATGATAAGTGAAACTCACAATACTTCGACTCTTATAGCTACATTGTTTGCAGTGATACATCTCTGGGAGTATAGCTGACTTCAACTAATTAAAAACAATCCTCCAGTGTCCGCATTAGTTCACCTTTTCTGATTGTGGCCAGGAAAGGATGCCCTGAAACTAAAGAAACAAACGAAAAGTATTTGTAATGAACAGAGGTTAAACAATTTAATTTTGCAAATACAAATCCTAAATACTATAATAGATACCATAGTTAAATATAACCTGTTTTTTTTCTTCTGAGCATTTTGCAGATGAGGCAGGTGTAACAATAATAGTATTTAAACATAGTATTTTTTTTATTTTTTTTAATATCTATATTTCAAAATCATGAGTAGAGGCATAATTTTACCTGATTTAGAATGATGGCACGTCCGCTGTTTGTTATTTATCTGTTGAGAGATGTTCTGCAAAAAACAAAAGCATACTCTTAGTAGGTTATTCATCCACAGGGGTAAACTGTTGTACAAAACCCGGTTTCAAACAGCACTGATTCTTTGCTGTAAAAGTGGAGATAATCCATCCATTGAATTGGACGAGATCAATAAGCATTAGGTAGGAGTCTTCTTTTGAAAAAGTGGGATAATAGCATTATTTTTTAATAATATAGCACACTAAGTCACAAAACATTTTAGAATATACATACATACATACATATATATATATATATATATATATATATATATAATATATATATATATATATATATATATATATATATATATATATATATATATATAAAAGACTAGACTAAATGCAGTATGCCTGTATACTGTATACTTCAATTATTATTATTATAAACCCAGGAATTACTGGAAGAGCTAACCTTTAGAGTAAATGAGTCTATTTTTACCTTATTGAAAATGTTCTGATGCCTACATTTGTTTTTGTGTAACAAAAAGTCATTCTAAAAGAAGGGAATATTATTAGATTTAGCAAAGCTACACAGATATGAACAGCATACAATCACCGTAACTTTTTTACAAAAACCTTTTTTGTCCTCAATTACTCTTTACACATAAAGCCCCAAAGAAAGGAATGTAGTGAATAAATCTAATGAAGAAATGTTTAATTTTACAGATGAGAGAGGTTACAGTTGTACGTCAAATTTATTAGTTCTAAACTGACTTAACAAATATGAGAAATGTAGAGGACCTCATGTACCACCATAAAATGGTTGTATACCACTTAATAGACATACCACAGTTTGAGAATTACTACCCTATACAGAGTAGAAGCATAATTTTACCTTATTTAGAATGACATGCCACTTGTGATCTGCTGAAAGGAGTTGTGGAAAAAAAGGAAGTTATTATTCATCCCAGTTGTGAATGTGGGCAGACTGAATAACAAAGCAGCCGTCATATTGTGTTATAATTGACTGTAATTATAACTGGTCCTGGTCTCAGTTCTGAGTCGACAGTCTTCGCGAGCGGATTGGGTGAACCCAAAAACGCCAAGTACGCCTTGGACGTCCTGGACGCGCGAATGAAGACCAAAAAAAGTGATGAGTCAAAAAAGTCAAGCGCTAAACAAGAGGCGTTTGACACGATTTGTTCGCGCCAGACGCTTGCTGTTTGAACATGGTTTAACAGCTCTTCTCTGAGTGCTGGTCAGGTTCTCTTGTTGAGGTGACATTGAGGCGCATCGAGCCTGCAATATTCACGGGTTTATGAGTACATTTTGGAGTTGGTGCCTAACAGAGTTCAAGGTGATTTGGTGTCAAGGTCCCGCTGTATGTAACGAAGCAACGGTGTATCAGCAGTGGCTTTGGTTCAGGGGAGACATACAACTCCAGCGAGTCGGCTGCATAGTATTCAATAAGGGTGCTCTGCAGCCCCGCAGAGCCCGCGACCTAGTGCAGCTTTCTGTAAACACCCTCGGACAGTGGTTACCCCTCTGCACTAAAAGGGAACAGATACACCACAGAAAAGCAGCGTACCCACGATCTCGCACTTTGCCTTTGCTCAGCCCCGGTGCCCTCAACACACACAACCAATTTGGAGAATTTCCGAATCATATTAGCAACAGTGCAGGCG